ATATTTTATAATTATTTTACAGTTTCAACTGTCAAATACTTAAAAAAAAATGATGGTAACTAGTTGTAGTACAGAGGAAAACAGGGGAAGAGCACATAGAAGAACACCAGTCACAGAGTAATTAATAATAATCAACAACGGATTGGATGAATTGGTAAACGATTTGTTCCAGCTTAAGCAAGATCTCGAGTTCGAGATATTGTGTATGCAGCAGTCTTTGTTGGGAGACTCACCCATTATTTTCAGGTGACGTGGATCGAGTCCGGATTAGTCGGGGGTTAAGCCCCGAATACCAGGCAGAAAACAAAAAAAAAAAATTAGAGTAATTAATAACAAAAAAAAAATGGAAATAAGTACAGAGGACAAAAGATTTTGAGTCTCAGACAAAATCAAAGCGCATGAGAAGCTTTACAGAGTTGTACTTGTCTCCCTTCTTATTGTACAGGGGTACTGCTCGAATTCCCTGCTTTAGTTCGGAGACAAGCAAACAAGTTTGACCAGCAAAGTCATCTTTGTCGATGTCATCATGATCACGGACTTCAACTCGAAGCAAAGCCAGTTCAGGAACAATCAATTCAAATGTAAATTCTTTATCCCAAACAGGAGTCCAATTGTTATTTTTCTCTTCTGTTGCATACATTTTCTTGTCAGCTGGCACTCCTACTATCCCAACCTGAATTGCAAATGAACAAGGACATGGACAGGTTCAGGTAAATAAATATGCAATGCAATCAAAGTGTGTTCAGTTGTGGCACTAATTTGTTATGGATGGAAAGTGTTATTTTTTATTGTATAACTTATCATCGGACATACTAAAAAAGAAATACTAATTAGTTATGGACTAAAAGATAACTTATTTCAACATGTAATTAAAACGTCTTACCCTTGCATAGAAGTCCGGTGGAGAATAACAATCAAAGTGTGTTCGTTTGAAATCTGAACGCCAACCATCTCCCATATACACTTTTACCTGTCAAGTAATAGTACATGAAAAAAGGATTTAATTAGTACTGAAATAGAGTGAAAGTTATGCC